ATGTGATTATGTGTATATATTATTTACTACCATGGTAAAACTTTGATGTGATTATGTGTATATATTATTTACCTACCACGTAAAACTTTGATGTGATTATGTGTATATATTATTTATTACCACAGTAAAACTTTGATGTGATTATGAGTATATATTATTTATTACCACAGTAAAACTTTGATGTGATTATGTGTATATATTATTTACTACCACGGTAAAATTTTGATGTGATTATAAGTATAGAGTCAACTTAAACAAGATGAGTGTTCAACATGCTTAGTGGGTTACATGTATTATTTAGAAACACATTTTAAGTGACAGATAAAACTGGATTTTCTTCAGATTTATATCAGCTATTTAAAGTTTGTTTGTTTTGGATGTTCACACAAGAACTATTTGTGATAGCCATTCCTAATTTTGAGCTCACAGACCAGAGGACGGGTAGCTAATCAACTGCACCAATCACAAACTCTTGGGCTGCTCTAATCAAATAGCTGGATTTGACCATCATTTTTATAATGCATCCTCACAGAGCAGAGCACAATTTTGGCCTAATGGGAAGCAAACCATAGACCCACAAGGACTATATCTAGCCCATGGATGGAGAGATACCTAGAATGTGTTCACTTAGCACTTGTACTGTGAGGCTTTAGAGAACATTTTAATGTAACTTATTAATTTAAAGGAACACATTATTCAAATATTTAGCTAACTATAACATTAGAGCTTGGCACATGTTCCTCTAATAACTACAAAATATAGTTAAGTAAAAAGAATAGGAAATATTATTTCTAAGCTCTTGAGAAACCTTGTGTCTCTTGGACACGTAAGTAAATAAAAATATAACTTTGGTCTGTAACTGTAGAAGACAATTCTCAAAGCATTCATCTTTTTATAAAAACTGAACTATAACTTAACATGAAATTGTGAAAAAAAATCAAAGGCTAATTAATGTTTATACTTAAACCCATTTTTCTATCACCTGCACAATATGAATGGCTTAAAATAAACTTGTTACACAGTCCACCAGTAATTTTCTACAAAAGTCTGAACAACAGACTACAAATGTTGCTTTAACAACTGAGGAGAACTCTCGTGTGAAGTGGTCAACTGTGGAGAACTCCAGTGTGAAGCTGTCAACTGTGGACAACTCTCATGTGAAACTGTCAACTGTGGACAACTCTCATGTGAAACTGTCACCTGTGGACAACTCTCATGTGAAACTGTCAAATGTGGACAAGTGTACAAATCTTTCAACTGGGGGCTAGGTTTGTGTGAAACTGTTAACTGTGGACAAGTGTGCAAATCTTTGAACTGGGTGCTATGTTTGTGTGAAGCTGTCAACTGTGAACAAGAGTGCAAAGCTTTCAACTGGGGCCTAGGTTTGTGTGAAACTGTCAACTGTGAACAAGTGTGCAAAGCTTTCATCTGGGGCCTAGGTTTGTGTGAAACTGTCAACTGTGAACAAGTGTGCAAAGTTCTCAACTGAGGGCTAGGTTTGTGTGAAACTGTCAACTGTGAACAAGTGTGCAAAGTTCTCAACTGAGGGCTAGGTTTGTGTGAAACTGTCAACTGTGAACAAGTGTGCAAAGCTTTCAACTGAGGGCTAGGTTTTGTGTGAAACTGTCAACTGTAAACAAGTGTGCAAAGCTTTCAACTGAGGGCTCGGTTTGTGTGAAACTGTCAACTGTAAACAAGTGTGCAAAGCTTTCAACTGAGGGCTAGGTTTGTGTGAAACTGTCAACTGTAAACGAGTGTGCAAAGCTTTCAACTGAGGGCTAGGTTTATGGGAAACTCCCATGCAACATAACATTTCACTTTCAATTAGTCATATGAATCTAAAGTTGAACTAAACTAACATCAACAATAAACTTAACAGTGTCTTAAATGTCATTGTTGTTTTCACTATCTGTCTAGCTTCTCTAGCATCCTGAACTTTTTATAAAGCAATCAGATATGACAACTAACTATTTGTTACCATTGGTAGTATTTCATCCAATCAATATATATATATATATATATATATCAAGTATACACAGGTAATGAGAGAACGTCTTTTTTTTTATCATTTATTACACACATCCATCCGTGTTCACAGTCTACAACACTTTTCTTGATACCTACCCATCGCGGTGATCCTGATGGCATCTGGGTTTCAGCATCCTCCTGTAAATCCTTGACTGATGTAGAAAACTGCTGCAGACTGCTACCCATTAGGGGGATGTTGATCAGTGGATAGCTACAAAAGTATCAATCAATACTTAAAAGGTGAACATCAAAAACCATATCCATTCAATTCTACCAGGATGAGTTCATTTACAATGCCAGTATGATAACATCATAACTGGCTATTACTAAGTATGTTTAATATATAAATATCATGCTAGTGAGAACTTTTAAGGTTAAATAATGAATTATCACTTGAATATGGCTCACACACACACACTGGAAGGTATGAAGACACAGCATATAGTGTATTATAATTGCATCAGTCTACCACAGAAGATGTTTACAAATATACATCAGTGTATTTCTCAACCACTATATTGCTTCTTTCTTTAACAATTAATCTTAAAGGCACAAGTGTTACAAAATAACAATTTAATTTTCAGCAAGACCCTTTAGATACAAGACCCATTAAAGATACAAGAATAACAAACACTCCAAAAAAACAGCCCAACTGTTATCTAACTAACACGTTTTTCTCTCCACATCAACATTAAACCCTAAACCTGAAAAGTGTCTGAATGTTGAAGTAATAGTTTCTCCTGAACTAGAAGCTAAATGGGTGATTAACATCATACACACATTAGCACATGGCCTTACTGTGATGTAATAACATGCACACACATTAGCACATGGCCTTACTGCAGGCCTCGACAAATCCCGGGCACCAGATCACCATGGTGACTAAACATTTCATTGTGGCACTTAGTATTTTCTCCCATTTTATTTGTGCATACAGATGTGCTAAATATAACTTGAACCTAGAACAGTTATGGACTCTTGGAAGTCAGAAAATATTTCACATTCTTTGAGTCCTAAATCCAACTACGTTTCTAGGATTTTGATGTCGGATCCAGCACTTCGCGTTTATTCAGAAATGAATTGCCACAGTTACAGAACACATTACTAATTTAGCCATTTTTGTCTTCTTCTTTCTCTCAACTCAACCAATCAGTGCATGTGTTTAGACTCAGACGGGACCAAAGGCAGTTACTTCAGGCAATACTATCAAGTGGTAGTTGATATCATTTAATTGTTAGCATGCACTTGTTGCTATGAAAGTAAATAAATACAGCCCCCATTTCCCAGTACAAACAGTAGTGAAGTTAGGTTAGACACACCAAAAGGCCTTTGCTTATTATTGTACAGTGTTGTAGTGATGAGTACATTATACCTACACAGCATGGTCACAAGTAAATAGACACCACCTTTTCAGAAAAAAATGGTAATTTTCAGTCATATTCGGATGAATTGATATATTTATAATTTAATTAATATCTAGTAAATCTTCCTTTCGCTTC